TTTAATATCTTATTCTAAAAATTTTTGGTATGGAAATTTCCTTATTTTTTTCCTATTATCGTTAAGAAATTAAATTAAATTTAATACTTTTATCAAAATTATGACTGTGTAATGACTCTCCTAAAGAGCCATGTACATCCGCCATGCCCTCCATGATTACACCTTTTCTTCTTTTTTTCATTCTCTTTTACATTCATTCTTGAGCAATTGTATTAATGAAATAATATTTGAACATAAAAATTAGATAAAAACCACCGGTTTTATCTCTTAGCTTCAAAATAAAATATGAATTTCTATATAAATCTCTCAAGAATAGTTTAAGGGTTTCATATAGCTTTACTCCTTGAGGGATTCATGAAGGATTTGAGAGTTATAAGCTAATGATTTACCTTTCATTATCCTTTTAGTTGTGTTATGATTCCTTTTATTGCTTGTTTGATTAGTGAATGAGGTAGAAAAACCTTCCAAAATCAAGAGAAAGGTAAAGTCTTGAAGAGGTTATTGAGGAACTTCGTTTTATGATGTTTGATGTGTTTTAGTCTAAGGTAATGCATTCATATTCTTATTGTGCTTCATATAAATCATAAAATTAGTGTCTTGTAAGTTAAAATATATGTTTGATATTTGTTCTAGTTAGTTGTATGACTTGATAAACTTGTGATGAAATTGACTGTCAAATTGGTTAAATTTGATGCCAAATGATGTGGTTGTAATACTTGTAACCTTAGAGATTAACTTGGGTGTTAAATGAGATGTTTAGAGTCATGTTACGGTGAATTCACATACATATATTGGATATTACCTACTAGATCAACAGGTTATTGATTCGTTATAACTTCCATTAATTTGTATATGTGTGAAAGTTCAGTCTTAAATTCATAGTAGAACGAGTCATTGACTTAAATAATGAAAATATAAATTAACAAATGAAAAGACTGAAATTAATTTATATATTATTTCAGCTCATATTGTATATGTCTCATTGATCCCTTCAGTAGTTTAAATTAACTTGTTCATAATTTGTTGGTCAAATTATGAACAAAGAGAAAAATTAATTGAGAAATAAATTATGGAAAATTACATGAATAAAAGAATTTAAATTAAAATGATTTAGAATTGATTCAACAACTTTAAATTTATTTCAAAATAAAATGTTAAATCAATTGATTATTTTTACTTTTATTAGTTTTGAAATTAATTTAATATTTTTTTTATCAATTCCCAAATCGATATTGAATTAATAGGTAAAAGGCCCGTGAGTTATAAATTTATTTTCTCGGAGAAGAAGCAATGACGATATTTGAGAAATAAGTGCAAGCCTTATCCTTAATGATTGGATGTAAAACGTATGTAGGTGTTTTTTTTAAGTTTTTAGTTCAAGATGAGTTAAAAAATTAAAATATAAGTTAAATAAATTTTACATAAATTCTAATGGAACAAAAATTAATTTATCATAATTAATTTGTTTAATTCACATAAGTTATTGATTTACAACATCAATATTAGATTGTATAAAATAATTTAATGGAACAAAAATTAATTTATCATAATTAGTTTGTTTAATTATATATATTAAGATTAACTTTGATATGTTTTAGTTAATAAATTTTTGGATAAATAAATTTTGAGTTTAAAGACTTTATAAATCAATTAAGATAAAATGAACTCAAATTGTTAGATCCAAAGGCAACTAAATATTAAATGTATTTAACTATTTTAAGGTTAAATTCAAAATAAAAGTTAAAAAATTTGAGCACTTTTTTTTTCTATCTTAGCTAACAATGACTGTGGACTAGAAACACAAAGTCTATTAAAGATAAAAGGGTTTAGTAGAACAAAATGTTAAATTTTTTAAATATGATTAGATGTTTGAATCATGATATTTGAGAATGAAATAAATTGAATCGGGAGGATCGCCCTCATAATAAATCTTTGTAAAATTTGATCTGAATTAATTAGTTAATAGATCATATATTTCAAAAGATAAAAAGGATAAAATCACAGTGAAACCGAAACACTAATAAAACCATGACTTTACCGTCACCCAGATATGGTGTTAAAATAATTAATAATTTAGATTTGAATAAGATTAATCTGTAGGTATATATGAGTTTTAAGTATAATTTTATCATTCCTTGATAAGTTGGGTTTAAATAGCGTAATTTGTATATATGCGTAAGTTTTAGGTATGGTTTTTTATTTTTAAAAGAAAAAGAAGTGTGTTGAAGAGAAATATAATAAGATTGGAGGAATAAAAATATGGGACGGGGAACAAAGGATCTTTGGTGGCAGAAGAATTGGAATCCTCGACGTTAAAAATGAACATAGGATAAGGTTTAGCAAATGCCCCAGAAAATGAAGAGTTTTCTACCGACACACCCATTTGCTATTCCCGAGGGCTGTTTGGTTACATATTTATTTAACATGGTGCGTTTGATTAACAGAATATAATATTATCAGTAAGAATAAAAGATTATCAGAGAATAAGATTACTGTGAATGTTGTATTTTGTGTTTGTTTGATTTAGCATAAATGTAAGATTACCGTGTTTGGTTAAAGGAATAAAAAATTATTGAAATGTATATTTGATCTAATTGTCCTTATTATATATTTATTTTTTTAACAATTTAGAAAATATTTATATATTTTCTTTAAAAAATTTAAATTCATAAAATTTATATACTTTTTTTTACAAATTTAAAAATATAAAAAGATTTAATAAAAGGGTCAAATTTTATTTTAACCCATGAACTTCATATAAAATTTTAATTATAGATTTTTTTGTAAATCTAAAATAATTTAATTTGTAATTTAATATTGGTATAATTTTTATTATTCAATGAGAAGAAATATATTTTTGAAAGAAAAAAATTTAAGGGTATTTTAATTCAAAATGCCAGTAATCCAACAATACCTAAGGAAAGAGAGATAATGACACTTCCGGTAATATACTCAAAAAATCTATTATTGATAATAAAACATTATTAGGAATGAGATTCTCGACTAATTAAACATGGGAATGTGGATTCTATTTCCGAACCAAATTACCCCTCACTGTTGAGTCAGATTCAGCAATCTAATCTAATCTAATCTAATCCTCCAACCAGTTAGCCTTTAAATACGACAGCTAGAATGCCATCAACAACTCTACCCATTACTCATTATTTAAGATCTATTCATAAATTACAATTAAATGAAAAATTAATTGACAGAAGTTTGACCCATACATTGACAATAATTACACAAATTCAAAAAATATAAAAAATTCAGGAAAAGTAAACTTAAAAAATACCAAACATGAAAATATTTTGGTTTAGAACTAAAACCTAACAAAAATAATTTTACCATTTTAATCTTTGTTTTATATTGTCGATTTTTAAGTTTTTTAGTTCAACCTATATGTGATTGAAACGTAAAAAGAATTCAGTTTTAATTAACGAACGAAGGCATGTTTTCATGTTAAAGGCAAGAAAAAACAAAGAGCAAAATCGGTAATCGAGGAGCTAAAGACTTTGCCAACATAATCTATCGACTATATAATTTTTTTTATTAAGTCACAAACTATTAAAAGTTATAAAATATTTTTTTGATTATAGTGTATTTGTTTTATTTAATTTGACTATTAAAAGTCGTAAAATAGTTACTTAACTATTTATATATTCTAAGTTCAACTTTTTTTTGTTAAAAAATTAACGATCGACTGAATTGGACGTTAACATACTGGTTGAGATATGTTAAAACTATATTTTAATTGCGTCTAATGGTATCACCGTTGTTTTTTAGAGCTGATTCAACTGTATATTGTAAATAGAGAGTCGATCTAAAAATACAACTCAAACAATAATAATATAAGATTTTATCATATCTCATTCAACAAAATAGCATCTAACTCAAATAGCTGTCAATTTTTTAACTAAAAATAACAAATTTAGAATATATAAATGATCAAGTGATCGTTTTATAACTTTTAATAGCAAAACATCATCCTATTAGTTACCCTATAACTTTTTATTATAATTGTTTCTAAGGAATTGTTGGACTAAAGCTTTTACAATCCACCAAGGATTTCTGATCCTCACCTCTGCAGAAGAAGAAGGCGTCGGGGCACCGAGACAAGCAATTATCCACCAGGTTGACATCGGCAGAACCCGGCTTTAGACCTATCAACGATCCCGGAATTGGCACAAACAAGTAACTCCCACCCTTTGAAATGACCAAATATTATCGTTCCCAGGAACAGCAGCTTTGACTGCATAATGACCTGGTATCGTACCCGTGAACTCGTCATACTCCAAAGATAAAGCCGTAAGCTTCGGCATCGAGCCATGAAAACCGGCAAAAGAACCCGAAGCTTATTATACCTTAAACCGAGAGCTATTATGCTATTGTTTAAACTTGTCGCTCGGTACTTGTAAATAATGACAAGTTGTTGTAAGAAGGCGTCAGCTGCTACAAGGACGGATGTTTGAAAAGAACTGATGATATTGTACCGTACATGTTGTGACTGAAATCTAGAACTTGTAAGAACCTAATCATATGTTATCGGCAATATTTGCTCTTTAGTTTATTGTTTCTCATGGAGAGCTCGACGAGAGATAATGGCAACTTTAATTCGCCTCCACCGGATATGTTATCACTTGCATCGAGAAAGTAAAGGTTTTTGAGTGAACCCATATCGGGAAACTCACCGGAAATATAGTTTCGTTGGATTTCAAGTCGTTTCAAGCGTGTTAGGTTGTTGAAGCTTGAAGGAATGGGTCTATGGAGATGGTCGTTGTCAATGTAAAGTTCTTCAAGGTGAGGGAGTGGGCCAAGAATGGCAGGTATTTTACCGGTGAGTTTGCTCCCGGAGAGATCGAAACGAGTTAAATAGGAGAACAAGTCAGGAAGTGAGCCGCAGAAAGAATTGTCGGAGATGTCTATGGTGTTTAAAAAAAGGTAGGTTCCATGAAAGTGAGGTGAGTGAAGTAGAGTAACCAATTGGATTCAATTCCACCGACTATAAAGCTATTTCTTTCCAACTTGCAATTAGTAATTTCATGAGACTACCACTAAATAAAGGTGACCAAATTGCACATAAAACACTTCTAACATGGGGTTCCCGAGCTCAACTTTTTTTCTGCCATACTTTTCAAATACTGCTTCACACAATTCTGGTTCGTCTGGAAGATTAACGGGGTTCCCCTTATCTGCAAAATAGCCCATATTCAGCTTAACATTTCTCTACACATTCATAGACGAACTTGAGCATGAAAAGCAAGAGGTCTACTGCAATGAAGTAGGCATGTCACAATGTCCAATACTTGTTACCATATATTTACGAAAGAAAGATGAAAATAATACCAGGATCACATCTCCAGATTGAAGGCCCAGGTTCTGCCCAGGAGCTACTTTATTGTCCTTTATCCATATCGAACATTTGCCGAGATTTTTAAGATGGAAAGATCCATCTTCTTCCATCTTGATGATTGCCTAAATATATGAGGGGAACCACGAAAGTAGTATTACATGTTAGTAGGCAACCGTTCAAGTGGTAGTACCATTTATAGGATTAATTGGGTGACTATACTTCAAAATGGCCAGAGAATAAAGAAGAAAAGGTGTATATATAGAGAGAGAGACATGGTAAATCTTACTTGCTGCCTTGCCACTGTATTAGCACATCCTTGTCTTCCCAAGTCAATGTCAACAATGAAATCTTCTGTCGTTCTACCAAGTAAAATCTACAAAATTAAAAAGTGTAAAGTATTAAAGAAAAATAAAACCCATCAAAACTATAAACTCCACTAGCATAAAAGAGCAAAGCGCCGAAAATGAAACCATCATTTTTGTTGAAGTGACCAAATGAAGGACAAAATACAAGATGGTTCCTTGGACGATATAGTTTCCTAACCAGGAATAGTTATTTATCCATTCTTTGTCTTAAACGAATACCAATAAGCATTCCATAAAGCGTAGTTTTCTAATTAAACTTAGATAAGGAGGTAGTCACTCAAGTGTATGATTAAGAACCACCTAAATACAACAATAACATAGCAGTATTCTAGCAAATATTATTCAAATGGGAAAGGCAACATTGATGAGGAGAATGGTAAAAGGATACAGTATGAAAGCTTAAAAAACGGAAATTCTTAGGTCTAGAATACCTCATGTTTCTTAATATAATAATGATTGGAATGGCGGCCATATAAAACGGCAAAGGCTTCATGGGATGCAATGTCCCTCTGCATGAAAGAACGGTAAGCCTGCTCCAGCCTCATAATTGCTCTTATTCTGTCCTCGTGCTGATATTTAGCAACTGCACAGTGAGAAGTAAATATATATTCTTCGTCAATAAAGACAGTATTCCAGAATAGAGAAAGAAAAGATAAAATCTGAACAACCCAAAACTGGTGGAGATGCGGAAGCATATACAAGACAAACTATTTTTTTCTCTCTTCTGCTAATGATAAAAAGAAAGGTAAAAAAAAAGTAACAGCTAGTGTTACCAAACTACCAAATCAGAACATTGATAGATGCAAGTACAAGTTAGCAATTCAAAACTACATGTTACCTTCCTGATCACACAAATCTTCGTCATCTGGATACAAGTCCATATCAAGGATCTGTTCATTAAATTAGAAAACAACAAGAAATAAAAATGGGAGTTAATAATGATGACAATAATAGATGTGACAATCATCGGAATTTGAAGACATACCATTGCCTCACCGTCCGAGTAATAAGGAACATTATCATCACTTTCAATATGTAACTCTGCAACCTTTAATGGTGGAGGTTTAACAACTGGTTCTGGAGAAATAATCGTTTGTAGAGCATCCACTTCTTGTTTAATGCCAGAAGGGTTCACCGGAGGGAAACTGTCGTGATTATCAGAACAAAGAGCAGGTTTCCCTGTTAAAGAATTAGCTGAACTATGATTCGTATGCATTCCCAGTAAATTTTCTTCACTATTTTCCTTTGGCAATGTTGGTGGGAAAGTACCATCACTGACATTAATGGAATTGCTTTGGGCTGAAGCATTGGATAGAAAACCATCACCTCTTGGAGCTACACACGGGTAATCCTCACATTTAACTTCTGCATGGAGCTGACCAACTTCTGGTATCATATGTGATATTTTTATTTGAGAAGATCCATGAGATTGTCCAGGATCCTTTTTATCTCTCTGAATCAGGAAGGGACCTCTCTCACTAGCTTTCTGACCCCGAGAATAATCTTTTACGAATGCAGATAATGGATTGTCGGGTTCCTTGTGTCCTGTTGAGGAAGCAGTTGATAAGCATAGCTGTTTGGGGAAGACAGCATCTTCATTGCATGGAATTTCTGGATCCTCACTGTTTAAAGTACAAGAAGAAAGGTTTAGGACATTTGAATTGCAAGAGACGGGCCCATCCATAGGGCGAGATCCTGCAACTTCATCTGATTCTTCAAGGCCGGAACTAGAAACTTTTGCAAGATTATCGTGAGTTTCAATTGTCATTGATTCAGTCATCTGATCTTGATCACCGTTGTTTGGTGAACTTGCCAAAAGTGAGCGCAAACCTTCAAAGAAAGACTTATCAATCACATCTTTTGCATCAACATCCAATAAAAAAGGTTCATCGTTCATAAGGGTATTGGTTATTTCCATCAAATAACCTTCAGTATCAGCCACTGTATTTTCTGAAGCCTCACATGGTATTTCTGATTCAATCTGGGCAATACCATCATCGGGTGGTGCACATGTATCTCCTTCGTTAAGGACTGTTTGCCCAAGACCATCATCAGCAGAAATAACAGATGCAGAGAAGTCTTCATCAGTTCTCCAAATTGACAAACCATGCTCCACAATTGGTGAGTTGAAGATCTGGTTACCCTCAAACCATGAGCATATATTCTCTTTATCATTATCCTCTAACAAACTGTGCATAGGAAATTCCTTGGATTCTTGCAATTCCTCTGTGCCAGAGTCACTCTCAACAAGAAACTGATTCTCTCCAAGTATGTGAGGACTTTCCTGTATTTGAGGAAAAGAACAGTGCATGACATTCACATTTGTTTCTTGGACTCTGAAATGATCTGAGATTGGATTTCCAAGTAAAGGTTCATCTTCAAGCCCAATTGAATTGCTATCATTAGGTTCAACGAGTAAACTAAGATCCATTGAGTTAAAGGGATCATTTCGAATTCTTTTACTCAATGCATCGCAACAACTACGTACACTCTCAGGCTTTCTCTTCCCAAACAAACTATTGCTATCGTTTGAATTTCCTGCCGTGCTAGAAGCAGAACATTCAAACTCAATTATGTGAGATGAAGCCTCCTCAGAAACAACTGGATCATAAAGGAGAGAATCCCATCGATCTTGTAGTTCTCTAACCGTGAATTTTCTAGAGAACCGCACTGCACCCTTCGCAAGAGATTCCAGAGAAGCACCAGCCTGAAAACAGATATAAAGAAAATAGAATGATATATCACCAACGTTCAAACAGGTCCAAAGAAAATTGAATTAGCGTGAGGCGATAACTTCTTGCTCACTAAACAATTTAAATCCCATTCTAGTTTCATCAATATTCATGCAGTCGATTAAAGTTACAAACTTCCATTCATGAATAGAATCTAATTCATCAGTGATGTCTACAAAAACAGGTTGCATTTCTAAATTTAACACTTCGACACAGGTTAGACAATGTTTACAAGTAATATATTTTCAACATAGTAATCATCTCCCATTGATAGATTCCTTATCTTTATAAACTTAAATGTAAGAATCTTCAAACTCATTAGTGACAAACGCCTTATATTGCAAATATTCCATGCTCAACGGTCAACACAATATACCCAGAAGACAATGCCATATATATAAAGAAATATACAGTCAAATAAGCTCAACAATTCTAATAACTAAAATAATAAAACAGAAGAGGCAAGAAAACAAAAAACCATTGCTATTTAGCTACTAAAAAAATCAAAGAAAACACGAATATATAGTTATATCCGAATTAACAAGTAATACAAACAAAAGAAAATTCGAATGTGAGATTAGAACAAGCAACAAATCCTCAAAAAGTACCAAAAGACTCAATCTCACCCCTATAAAAACCAAGTAAATTTTTAAGTATATACCTCAATAGCGTTCTTCAACAAGAGGTCATCTTCAGGTATCCAAGAGGGGACAGCTGGAGCCAGAGCCCCCATCAATATGGAGCTCAACCAAACCCAGAAAAGCCGCTTCAGACACTTTTTGTTTCTCTCCTAGTGTTGTACATGAAAACAAAGGGAGATTGTGGGGTTAAACCCTAAAACGAAAAGCAAAGAGAGTATGAAACCAGGGTGGCGCGAGAGGTTATTGTCGAAGGTGGGGACACAAATAGATTAGGTCACAGCTTTACACTCAAATCTGCGTGACGTAAAGGAATGTGTGAGCTAAGACCGGGTTTTTGACTCTTGGCGTCGGCTTTTCTTCCTTTCCGGTGTATTTCCTTACGCAATGACAAATGGATTGGCGGTGGCTGTTGCTTGCGGCGCAGCGTAATTGGGTTTGACCTTTGACTGAAACAGTTCGTTACCAATCAATAGTATATACGGCATAATTCATTTAAATGGTATATATTTCCATTTATCGCTCAATGGTAAATACGAATGACTTGGCGTATCTAACCATTCAAAGAAAACTGTTTTTAATTTTTAAAACCAATCATTTAACTAATCAAATCTTAATCTAATTCACATTTTTTGATTAAAACTTTTTTAAAATTTAAAATTTAAATACATATTAATCATACATTTTTGAATAATCTGAAATAATTTCAAAATAATACAAATTTAAAATTTGATTTAATATTTTCTATCAAAAAATGATTTAATGTTTAAAAGCTATCGATAATTAAATATTATATGAATATATGTTTATGTTTTCAATTATTTAATCTTATTTTTCTGCTTTTTTTTCAATTAGACAAAAGTCGGTAAAGGGTTAAGTCCTAGGTTTTTATGTATCTAGACTTAATTTTTTATCTTATATAAATCATATCTAAATTATCTTTAGATTTATTTTTGACATATTTAGTTATATTTTAAAATGATTCAAATATATATTACTCGTCATTGTAATTATATATTGTAGTTTAAAAAATTGAAATTTTAAAATAAATGTAGATAAAGTAATATTTTTAAAACATATATTAAAAGTTTTAGTACATAATTTATTATTATTATCGTCTTGGTCGTCTAATTTTAAAAAAAAGTACTTTATTATATTTCACTAGTCTATTAATTATTTAATAGTTACATAATTGTCTCTGTTAAATTATCAAGTGTTAGCTATTACATTTGTAAATAATAATTTGTAATGTGATATGCGATGAAATGTATGTCATAAATTATATGGAATTTAGTCATATGATGAGATTATATCTGGGAAATGAAGGCTCGCTGTTCTTGAACAATACCTCAAAAGAGGAGGGTATAACAATACCAATCATGTTGTTCTTGGAAAGAAATTAAAGGATGTGTTGTCTTTATATCATAATTTACATAGAATATTAGAGAGTCCATTTTGTGATTCGGATCTTGTACAAGTGCTCGCCCACCTTAAGCAACACGGTCATCTGAAACTCCATCGTAGAAGTTGGCTCTCATAAATGTACTAGATAGGGTAAGTCATCTCATCATCAATCTCTAAAAACTTAGGTCGGCCAAATTTTGAAGCAGAAACCATGCATGCACCGAAACTGAAACCCCATACGTCGAAACCCACACTTACCCACTATCTACATACATTTTTTTAGCCCAATCTTCCAGGCGTTTAAACCATTTCATTAGATCCTTCCCATGTCGTACAATTCAATATAATTGTAATATAAAAAAAATTGACAATTTGGACTTCTTTTGGCATATAAGCAAGATCCACTAGGCAGTAGTGAACCCTATGACTAAGGCCCAATTTCTTGATTTAAGAGTAAACCATTGAAATGAATTCCAAACCCATTTGACACTGGATTTTACATAATTGGAGAAGGAAGCTGAAAAGTGGTGACAAGAATTTGGGAATGTCAGGTGTAAGAGGTTTAGAGGAATCATGGCACCAAGTAACAAGTAGTAAACATGGGATTTTCTTTACTTTTTATGAGCCATCCGTTGATAATAGCTAAAGAGGCCCTAGATTAGTGTGAGTGATACATAGGCACGTGATGAGTTGTTGAGGGAAACCTTTTCATTCAGACAATTATGTGATGCAATGCAAAACGCAGCTCCAGAATTATACTAATTTTTTTTAATTGTCTAGGCTGATTACAAGATAGTACATGTTCATATCTTTTGTTATTGACAACAAACATACACCCTACATACAGACATAGTTACTTAAACCCATAATTTCTAAAAGAACAACACTCCTTTAATCACTCAATCCTAGATGGGTTCAAATTATACCAATAATCATAATGTGCTATATTTTCAGACAATAATATAAATTCATCTCCGTGACATTAAAAGCCCAGTGGGTCCACTCTAACTCTCAAAGGGGGACCATAGCATACTGATCTCATTAATTTGCCAAGTCTCTCTCCTATGGCCCAAACATAGAATTGCATGTATTTGCCAAAATACATTTCAAATTGTTAAGAGTAATATTAACTTGTTCTCATAACGGTGTTATTTCTGTAATTTGAGATTTGAAGTGTGTTCCAACACCCCAAATAATTTAAGGAAGTGTTATAATTATTATAGTAATTATATCATTTTATAATTATATGAAATTTCGATTTCTACATATATTTAATTGATAATTACACAAATTAATGAGATTTATTAATTAAAAATAAAGAAAATTAGGAAAAAGCTAATTATGTGCCTAATTTCCTCAATTATTAAGAATTAAAAAGTTTAATTAAAGTATTCTAATTATACAACTAACAATCAGTTGATCTAATAATATGAGATATTAGATCCCTTAAGCAATGATACAAGTTTGAATCCTAACGTTATGAATGAATAAAAAAAATAGACTGAGATGGTCGTCCCATAATAAATTTATGTAGTACTCAATCTAAATATAATTAAAAGAATTTAAAAATATAAATTCTATAATTTAAAGATAAAACTTAAAAGTCCAAAAAATACAACTAAAAAATCCTCATACAATTTAGAAAAAAATTATATAGACGAACGTATCATTTTTTACAAATTCTAATTCATCCTAATCATAATCCTATCTAGAAGGGAGGGAAATGGTATTCTCAGTAAGTCTATAATCCATTATCTAAGAAAATATAAAGAAATAATTATGAGCAACTTGACTAATCAATTAAATATATTTGCTAAAATAAACAAAACATTTAAAAGTTTAAATTCCATAAAAAATATATTTAATTTATATGTACACATATAATTAATTTAATTTAGATAATTAATTTAATTCGATTATCAGTTTTGGATATCCAAATCGAATACACACAAAATTAATTTAATTATTTACTTAAAAATGATAAATTATAAAATATAAGGAAGCGGGTCAAGCTAGTATTTAGGTCTGGGCCCAACCTGTCGACGGGCTGGTATTACAAGTTAGATATTTCTAAATATATACACCATTAGTTGATAACTTTAAAAGTAAGAATGTTGATGATTGTTATCCTTAGAGATTTTATGTTTGAGCATTAGAGACTGTAAAAGTATTTAACCTTTCATTTTCAAATAGTTGATAATTTTTAGAATAGATACTACTTATAATCACCTTAGATTAATAAAAAAATACTAATACATTTACATGCCACCAAAATATTTAAATCTACTTTAAGAATCTCGAAGTTAAATGTTACGTAATTAAGTTACGAGTTAATTGCATAAAATGTTTCTAAACTATAACTCTCATTTTAAATTAGTCTTTAAACTTTTAAACATTCAAATCTCATCCCTAAACTATAACCCTCTTTTTAAATTTATCCCCAAACTTTTAAATCTTCCAATTTCATCCCCAAATTCATATAAATATGTAATTAGTTTCAACCATAGTTTAACCTATATTTTATGTTTTCGAACATATAATAATATAATTTGGCCTAATAATTTTATTAACAAGGGATGTGATTAGTATATATACATATAGTTTGGGGTAATATTGGAATGTTAAAAAATATTGGGGATTAATTTAGAATGAAAGTCATGGTTTGGGGATGAAATTGAAATGTTTAAACGTTTGAGGACTAATTTAGAATGATAGTCATAGTTTAAGGATGAAACTGAAGCTTTTAAAAGTTTAAGGACCAATTTAAAATGAAGGTCATAGTTCAAGGACTTGTGATGCAATTAACTCTTAAGTCACTTATCTAAATTTCAGAATATAACACTATTCAGTTCTTAACAACCAAGTTTCATGTTTGAATCCAAGATTTTACATCAAAGGATTCTCAAAAACACTGATTTTTTGTATGAATAGAAAAAACAAGGATGTGGTGAGAAAATAAGTTAAGAATGAGCACTGTTTTGATAAAGGCTATGAGTCTATCTCTATGCGCATCCATTCCACTTTAAAACTTTTCACCTAAATTGGACGCAGTGTCTCCTCTCTGCCCCTCCTTTTTGGTTGAGCCGGCCGGCTTTGGTTAGGGCCATCCATATAGGGTAGGGCTCAGCTGTGATTTATTCTTAATTGAGGGACACCTTTCTCTATATCGGAGAGGGACCCCCTACATCTTGTGTTTTCAACTAGAAAAAATAATCTCGGTGACCAAAAATCCCAGATAATATACGATTTTGATCAATTTTTTTTGGATTTGCAAAAATGACTAACAAAAACGCGATTTTCCATTTCGCGTTGCGATAGTTGAAAATCGCGTTGCGATAGTCTACAGTTGTTATTGTTTCTTAAGAATTTTCTCTAAAAAGATAGTATCCGCACGGACGTGTCGAAGACACGTATGACCACGACCACGACCACGACCACGACCACGAGACGAGACGAGACGAGACGGACGACGGCGGCAGCGGCGCGCGAGAGTCCCCCTTGTTCTCTATCACTCAACAAGGAAGTGGGAAAGCCAAGTCTTAAATATCATTCCCAATAGTATTTCCAATACTATGTGGGATTTGAGCATTACCAACACTTGTTCCCAATACTATGTGGGATTGAGCCTTAAATAGTGATATTATTTTTTAATGTTTTGCTTAAAATTGCAATAATCGCGATTGATTGTAGATTGACTTTTAATTATGACATATTTAATCGTATAATACTAATGCAATTGGTTGTTGATTCAGTTGTTTTAAGGTGCATGATTGTTAATTGTTTTCTGAATAATCACATTGTATTGGAAACAAGTGTTGGTAATGCTCAATCCCACATAATATTGGAAACACTATTAAGAATGGTATTTAAGGCTTGGTTGTAGATTAACAAGTGTTGTTAATTGTTTGAAGCATTGAGATGATTAGTGTGAGACCCCACGTATCATTTAAATCTCCAATTTAAATTTAAATTTAACTTTCTTTCATCTCTAAATCTATTAAACGATGTCAATAGTAAAAAATAGTGTTATTCTTCTTAAAAATTTCGAGTTCAAATAGTT